GTAAGATAGATGCGATGGGAGATTACATTTTGTTGAACTTTCTTTTTGGCATTGGTAACATCATTGACGTGTTTCTGACGGATGGATACAGCTGATGCTGCCACTTAGGCTAGGGCAAGTAACTGCGTGAGTAAAAGCTTTGATACCGCAAACGTCTATAGGATAGGCTCACCATCAGCCGGGCCATATGCTTGTTTGTCACCCTTTTATGAAAAACTATTTTAATCCATGAGTAAGGTTCCAGGGCTCATATGAATTCAGTGTAGGCAACAGCGCGAGTGATTATCTGGCATCGCAAGCGTCTATAGGCTATGAAGGCCACAAGCGGGACAAATTATTGGTTTCTAATCTTCTTACATAAAAAATGCTATTTTTATACAAGGCGCAACAAATAGCGCACACCATCTAATATTGAGTGTATGTGGAGTCCAGTCGCGGAGATAGATGATGCGACAGAAAGTGTTCCACTCCAGTTATCCTCATCTCGCCGGCTTGAACCCAAACCCCTCGGAGCCCTGGAATCCTGCGTGCCTGTCTTCTGTTCCCCAGATGGGCGCCATGCCTTACCTCTCTTAAAAAAATATTTAAAAAGGCACGTCAAAGAACTTAGAAGAAAATCAAAGTTCCTTATTATAAATAAAAAGAGGTGTCCTGTACCCTTACTATGAGTTTGAGCTTACGAAAAGTATCATAGTTTTCGTAATTGTAAACTATGTTTCTATGTCAATTTTGGTAAAAAGTAACCAAATATACTTAAAATTTAAGAAGACGCAAATAACTAAATGATGGAATCTAAACACTGTTTATTTGTATTGAAACGAAAACAATAAAATCAACGAGTGCGAGCTCACGATAACTATCATAGTTTTCGTAATTGTGAAACTCGTACTAGGGTTACTGGTGTGCTTTAACTCGCATTAATTTAAGGAAACAATTATAGTGCGTTACCCTTAAAAGATGAACATATTTTATGGCGGCAAGGCCTTATTTATAGAAATTTAAAGAGAAAAAAATCCGTCGTACATGGTTTTTGTGTAACTTTTACCGTTTACACTTTCACGCAGCGCATGCTGCAGCAGCTCGCAAATGGAATAGCTTTTCCTATTTTCGAATCATTTTTCATTGGTAGCGCTATGTTATATAACCTATAGCCTTCCTTGATTTATGCGCTTTTCAACATAAAAGGAATTACTTAAATAGGACCAGTAATTTCTAGGATTAGCGCGTTCAAAACAACAAACAAACAAACTCGTTTACTATGTATGTACTATTGCAACACCAGATAGTGAATAGGAAACGAAAACTAGGTTACAATTTACTACAGTTTCAATACATTAAATCAATAGTCGAATGAAACGGCCATAAAAGGCAGCGCGATTTCAAGCCCCTAGGGAAATTACTAGAAGTAAAGGGAGTTCATCAAATTAATCAGAAATAATGGACGATATTGTACAAGTTTCCTGCTAGAGAATGAATGTGAAGTTTAAGCGATTAACTTACTACTTATTTTGTGGTTCAAGATAATACTTTAGCTTTTATGCTATTGTATTCATGACTAGTTAGGTCCGCGACTCTGTCTGCGTGGCAGCATACTTACGTTAACTAAGGAATTATTCTTAAATAAAATTACTTTTTTCACAAAAATAAAATACGACTTTAAAACAAAGCCACTGAAAAGTAAGAAATAATACAATTCTTCACTTATATCTTAAGCACATTTAAAGTCAAATTAACATTTGGTGTCGGTGTCAGTGAAGAGCTCGATGGCGCAGGTGGCTAGCGCGTTCGGCTGCGATCGTTGAAGTTAAGCAACTTTCGCATTGGTCGGTCATTGGATGGGTGACCAAAAATTGACTTTCTCGAGCTCCACCGTGCTTCGGAAGGCACGTTAAGCCGTTGATCCCGGCTGCATTTGCAGTCGTTAGCACCCACCAATCCGCAATGGACCCGCGTGGTGGGTCATGGCCCAATCTCCCTATTCCATCCATAGGGAAGGTTTGTGTCCCAGCAGTGGGGACATTAATAGGCTGATGATGATGTCGGTGTCAGTCCTACCGCAGCAGTAAATGGTAACGTGCATGGCATCTACCCCAAAGGTTAATTTGACTATTTAACATTGAAAATGTTTTTTCATTCGCTCCAGTAGGCCCCCCTTTTGTGGTTAAAATTGCGACTCGCCCGTGATACCTCGAGGCTTAGGGCCACGAGAACGTATGAGGGTTTAAATGATGCAGAATTTGAAAGGCTTCAAGAAGATGTAAACATTATTTTGGAAAAGTCTAAAACTTTTTTTGAAATCGCAAAGAACCGACTGTTTTCGACCGAAAAATAGTGTGATTGCACAAAAAAAATCCGATATCTTGAGAACGAGAAATTTCAAAGATGAATGAAAAAGAGCCCCCTCGGTATTGAACCAAGGAAAATTTTATGTCATTACAATTTTTTCGATATTGGTGACGGTTGAAGCTGCAGGGTGCCCTTAGCCGCGATTTTCTCGCGGCGCGAGTTGCGATATGACGCGGCGGGCGGCTCGCGTGTGGCCAAGAGGACGTGTGAGAGCTCAAAAGACGCGGAATTCGAAGGCTCTAAGATGATGAAAAAATATTTAGGATAGGTTTTTTTTTTGAATAATCTATAATAGGTAGAGTTTTCAATGCCCTTTCAAGTCGTGTAGAGCACGAGATCTTTATTTTTTTTTTGCTAAGAGGGTAGCAAACAAACGAAGATGGTAGATGGTAAGCGACCACACTAGCCTATAGACGCTTGCGATACAAAAATATCACTTGACCTGATCTTCTCCTCCCTGGAGCCATGGAACCTTACTCACCGACAGAAACACAAGACCACCAAAAGGTAGTGTTATTTTATTGTGGTCTTACGAAAGTAAGGCGGAGGTCAATTTGAGCGGAAAAACCGCTTTACCCTACCTCTCTTACTACTCGTCACATGAAACGGAGCAATACTAAATTGGTGCTTCCACACCAAGCCAACTCAAAAGGTTCTCGGTGAAGTGGCAAGGCGAGCCCCGTTCCGTTTCTTTTTTTTTTATAGCTTAGCTTAGCTTTAGCTTATAGCTAAATAATTACAATGATAAATAAATTAGTGATTAGGTATTATTCAGTCTTAAATAATAAGCCAATTATAGCCATTTACGTCTTACCTTCCTAAAATAATTATCTAAAACATTAAACTTATGAAATTCATAACAAAAAGCACTTGCATTATATAAATTTCAGTAGACAAAAGACAACATGTTTGTGCCATTTTTATGGACATGACCTGTGCCTTTGACCACGTTGATCATAAGTTACTATTGGCCAAACTCTATGCTTATAGGATAAGAGGCGTAGCTCTTAAATTTATAGAGCCGTATTTAAGTAACAGGAAACAATACACTTATAACGAAATTCTGCAAAAAAAATCAAAATTATTCGAGAATTTATGTCTTTATGTAGAGATGTAGAGGATGGTGTGCCTCAAGGTAGTATATTAGGACCTTTGTTCTTTAATGCATTTATAAATGACTTTCCAAATTCTATTGAACATCCCATGATTTTATTTTCTGTCGACAGTACTGCTGTGGTTAAATGTAATAACGATAAAGACTATGAAAATGACATTAATAATGCTATGGAAAAATTGAACCATTGGATAGTCCAAAATACCTTGTGCCTGAATAGTAAAAAAAGTAATACACGCCATTAGTGCAATGGTGAGGTAATTAAATCTGTTTCTGAAAAGAATTTTTTAGGTCTGCATATGGATTATCAGATTAATTGGAAATCTCACACTGAGAAATTAAGTTAGAGAGTGAGTAGTTCAATTTATGCTTTATACAAACTCTCCAAGGTGTCTATTATGGACACTGTTTTGACTGTTTTTTGATGTTGAATCTACCTTACGATATAGAATAATTTTCTGGGGAAATTCAGTGAATTAGACTCTTTTATTCAAATATCAAAAAAGGTGTATAAGAGCGATAAATTGCCTCAAATTGACTGATAGCTGCAAACCGTTTTTCATAAACATGAAAATCCTGACTCTGCCTTCGCTGTATATTTATGAAGTAGCTGTTTTTGTGTTATGTAACAATTCTCTGTTTCCGACACTCTCAAAAAGGAACCCAGATAGAAATCATCGTCACTGGAATAGGATTTGCGCTCCTTCAAATTAAACCGTACACGTTAGTAATAGCTTCTTTGGGATGGATCACAGAATATCCAACAAGGTTCCGAGTAGTCTTAAATCACTACCGATAAAGATTTTTAAGAAGCGTCTGTTGGTATTATTTATTGAAAAGGTCTACTATACAGTTAAGCAATTTTTAAATGACAAATCCTGTAATTAAATCTTGTCTTTTTAAAAGCAGTTCACTATTAAAAAAGTTAGACAATAAAATTGATAATCCAGTTAAGAAATAAATGTGTATTTATTGCTATATTGGACATTTTGCTTATTTTTCCATTAAAATTTTAACTATTAGTATGTACTACTACTACTACTACATGTAGTATGACAACTTTATGGCTTATTAAATTTATAATCTACTTTGACATGCATGTAACAATAGATAATTTCAAATTTTATTCATAAATTGTGTTTCAATGTAACCAAAATAATAGCAATTGTTTCATAGGTCCATATCTATTTGTATACCTTATTTAAGGTAGAAATGTAGTGATACTAACAAAAATTTTATAATACTATGTAAACACTCACCAACGTATCACAAATAAAGTTTTGATTCTGACGTTTCTATACGATTAGCCAAAATATTATCCATCGATATTATGCAATATATTTATAGGTATATTCATTTTCAATGCCCTTTCAAGTCGTGTAGAGCACGAGATTTGTTTTTAACCTTTCAATTTAAATAAGGTGTATTGCATAATAGTTTCCCTAGTAGTTCATGCAGAGCTAGGCCCACAGAGCAGGTTCATTCCTGACCTGGTATATAATTAGGATTGAATAAACGAATTTGAATTTAAAAACAAAGTTCTGGGTACAATTGATTTTTATTCTTCTGATTAAATAAATGGGGAAGTCATTAACTCATCTATATACCACACTACCACTACCACTAATACCAGTACAAATACCACAATTGGAAACAATCTTGTCCTCCTGCAAAGAAGTTGCAAGAGATTTGAGAGGGAAAATGTTTGTTATAATTTTATTTGGTAGTTAGTCTAATATGGATTTCTCAGATGTTTCTTTCTAACTCGGACCTGTTGATTAATTTTTAGTGCCGCTACCGTGCATCTGTAAAAGAAAAGAAAATTTTAAATCTATTATTTCTTCAATAAATATTATTAGATTTTTCACGTAAATGGTAATAAATTGTTTCATCTTACCATTCTAAAGGCAAGGCTTTTTATACAAAGCGTTATTGATAACTTTCAGGAGAGTGTATGCTCCTCCACCGCAAACGTTGTGGAAGTCATCAGTCTCAATACTCCATATCATGATTCCAGCTAACTTCTTTTTTAAGGCATATTTCACTTTATCTCTTATGGATCTGGGATTGTCGTAGGACACCCAGTCTAAGCCTTTGACAGCATAAGGCACTTTGGCCAGATGATCCTTTCGAATCGACCAGGATGGATCCGATTTAAGCATGGCACAGAACTGTTAACAAGCAAGTTAAAATAATATTAGTTTATTTTATTTTTAGGCATTTAACTGCTAGATGTTTAAACCGAAACGAATTGTTTTTACTACAAAAAGTTCCATGCGACCCAGGAAGCAGACGAAAATCGAACCCTACCGCTAATGGCGGTGTCGAATGTCTTCTAGTATTTCTTAGGCTGCATGGCAGCGCCATTTCTTCGCATTGTAGGTAACCATTTTCAACTTTAACGACCAACGCAATTAAATTTGATATTATCAATCAAAGAAAATCTTCTTGGACTTGCGTACTTTTTTAAATGTTTTTTTTTTTAATGATGCTTACACTGCTTCAAAAGCAACAGCGCGTTGAGTGTCCCCGAGAGTTTTTGAACCTCTGTAGCGAGAACCGAGATTAGAATTTATGAACTGTATTGTTACTGGATAAATTATTACAATTTAGGTATATACATTCCATGTAAAAAATGTGAGCTATCAAACTAGTTTAAAATTACATGGAACTAATGGTTCAAAATATATTTTTTTAAGGTTTTAAAATTTTCAATGCTACATAGGACTGTTTGAAAAGAAGATTAAGAGGTCTACGTAACCTAAAGTCACTATCCCCCAAAGCTTTTCTAACGCTACCCCAGTGAATTTCGTACTGCCATAAAAATAGGGGTTGGTGGTTAAGATGAACATCTAAATAAATATACCTATATGTAACAGTATATGTATTCTATCCGTTACCCTAGTGTTCCATAACACAAGCCTACATTGCTTACTTTGGGGCTAGGCTAATTGGTGTGAGCGTTGGAAATATTTATTTTATTATCTAGCAGTTAAATGATTAAATTAAAACATTGTTGAGGATTGTTGAAAGGAATGTCAAGTCGGAATCGACTTGGATGCATTCTGCGGATAGTTTGGCTGGTTACTAGTAAACGTCATCCGACATTTGACATTTGTCACTGTGAGTGTATAAAAACAAGTGAAACGTCAGTTTTCTCGGTCTGCATCGTCCCGTTCTCAGGGGACGATCGCATCCGATGAAGCCTTAAAACCCTTCCCGGCGTCTGACATAACCTTGCAGCCGGCTGTAGGGTATCCTCCCCCGTTCCCCCGCCTGGGAGAATACAAACAGTTAACGGGACATTTGTAATCTAGACGTCGAGCTTTTTAGGTCGTGTTGCCAACCTCTTATCGACTTCACCTCGGTTGAATTTCATCCGTTTGTATCTGAGCAATCATAGCTCATTTTGATCTGATTATTTGTTCGACTATCTTAATTAAACCTAGACAGTGCAACCCGAGTATTATTTAGACGATTTGTAATGGAGTGCCCCGTCTACAAATATAATAATTGACAATCCTTTCCAATCCCTATAGAATATACTTATTTCAAAATGACAAATAGCAAAACGAATAGCCATGTAAAGTGCTAGGTGCTAGTATTTAATATATAAAACGGGACTTACCTCGTTGTACCCAACAAAGCCGGCTTCACCAGTATAAGGACCAGCGATACCAGCGCCATTTGATGGAGCCCTAACATCGGAATTGGTTTCAGATTGCAATTTAAAAGAGTGGCCGTAGAAAGGTACCCCAAGTGCTAGCTTTTCTGGTGGGCAGCCTATAAAAATAAGGATAACAAAATGTTATTTATTGATTAATACTTTTGTGATTATTTAAGGATGCATGTTAGGTTTTAGGTAAGGTTTGATGTCCATAACAAATTGGTCACATTTTGGTTTTGTATGTCCTTCTGTTCTGTTAATTGATTCATAGTAATCGAAATTATACAAATCAGAGAAGTCTGTGTATTTTGAACGATCCCTTAATAACTGAGAGGAATAATATGGGATTTAAGTTTTAGCCTTGAGATATGAATGTAGAAACATTTACGTTTATTTTCTTTCATAAAAGGTTCGATGTTGACTAATAAATTGCTTTTGATCACTCGTATGAGACCATAGACCCAAAAAGAATTAAAAAAAATGTTAATTTTTATGTATTCTCTGATCGATCTTGGGCCAGTTGGAATTGTAATTGGAGAGGCCTATATCCAGCAGTGGACTAGGATAGGCTGTCGATGATGATGTATTCTAGTAAAAAAAGTCAAACGCAAGAAAAATAATGGAGCTAGAAGAATGTAAAATTTTCTTGCATTTTGTTGGAAACTAATTAATAAACGGTTCAGCATTAACATTACAAAATTACTGTTTCATACCTTCTCTCAGCCAATACTCTACCGCCACATCAGCAGTGAACAACTGTTCTCTTGGGGTAGATCCGTCAAAGTCTCCTTTATGGAGACCGGCATTATGACCCGTGAGTGTCTCCCAAGGACCGTACATATCATATGTCATTAAATTCACATAATGTAAGTACCTGAAATTAATAAAAATAGATTGTTATGTTATTTTAATTGTTATATTATTATACGGAGGAGTCCCATGGCGCAGGTGGTAAGCGCATTAAGCCCGCGATCGTCAAAGTTAAGCAACTTTCGCAATGGTCGGTCATTGGATGGGTGATCAAAAACTTTAATCTCGAGCTCCTCCGTGTTTCGGAAAGCAAGTTTAAACGTTGATCCCGGCAGCATCTGTAGATGTCAGCACCCACCAATCCTCACTGAATCCACGTGGTTGGTCACAGCCCAAACTCCCTATGCCATCGAGATAGGAAAGGCCTGTGCCCCAGCAGTGGCAACATTAAAAGGCTGATGACGATGATGATGGATTACAAGACGAAAATAGTTTCTTTTCTTTTATCATGAGACTGTTTTTTTACGATTAATGTTATTAATGACAGAAATTGGATATGTTTCTTAAACTTACTGCGATATAGCTGATACATTATAAGACTGTGATGCTGATGCTTCGACGGAAGATACAGCCGCTGTCAATATCAGGCCATATTCATCAAATTCTTCCCTCATTTCTTTCACGAGTTGTGAAAAGTTTTCTATGTCATCGACACCGTGGACTGTGTCTCGACGATTGGGATATTCCCAATCCAAGTCGAAGCCTTCAAAATCGTACTCAAATATGATATCAAGAGCGCTCTGGATGAAGTTTTGTCGTTTAACTGGATCAGCCGCCATCTGAAAGATTTTTTATTTACTTTACCTCTCGTAGTTTGGAGATCAAACTAGATTTTTAAATGTTGGCGAATTCTGCTTTTACTTGAATGAGTTCATAGGTATCAGAATCAAAATGTACGAACCAAATATGGAGCACACAATAGATATTTATGGTTCATGCATCAGTAGAATACGTCAAGTGGTTCAATTTTCTTTGATCTGTCGTTAGGTTAAACTTTTTCATTTATAAGCAGAATATACCAACTTTTTTACATATACCACTAATTGCATTTGCGAATAAGTTGAATCGAATCGCTCGAATGTTGAATCCATTACACACAGCTACAACTGTAAAGGATGGCTCACACTAGACCGTGCTGTACTTATAGCGTGAGTGTGTCCATATAAAAACTTGACAGTGCGACGGCCGACGCTCGGACCTAGCACGGGTTCCGCCCAGACTTGGCACGACCGACCCGCCACGGTGTAGCTTGAGTCATTCTTAAGATAGCTTAAGGATGTATAAAAAATCTTTTGGTCATTGAGTTAAGCTAGAAGCCTTATTAGTGAGCATATTGGTATGCTGATCACTACGATGGATTTTATGATACCCACTTCGGAATATTTTGCTGATCCTTCAGCCCAGCCTCCGACAGCCAACATAGGTTTAAGTTTGGGATTTTTCTTTTTCAGATCGGTGAAATTTCTGTAGTTACCTGTAATTTTGTTATGACATTATTAATTAGTTAAATCATGATGCTTGGCTTTCACAATACATTAAAACAATCATAAATTGAACTCTAACTTCATAGGTAGGGGAAAAAAATATTGAACTCCTCAAAATTGTGAACAGAAACTTATATGTAAAACAGTAAAGAGAACCTATTATCTGTTTTCCGTGAGGATTTATCAAAGGTCTGGAAAACACCAGCAATAACTGTATTCTGTTATGACTTGTAGATAACTTTGGAAGAATTATGAGTTTCGTATATAACGGAGAATAGAAAAGCGATGTATACTGCCAAGTCAAGGGTGGCAGGTGTGGCATATGTTTAGATTCCGTTTCAGTTCACATCGCACCTAGATTCCACAAAATCTTACATCAGTCAGACGCAGCGCAGTCATTTACTAATTTTGTTATAAAACAATATAGCATCTACAGACTGGGAGCATAAAGCAACACGGGCGCTACCGTATCATTGGAATCGTTCTATCAATTTTTGTGAGGAGAATTTGCACACAAATGATGTTATGTATAGACATGTAGAAACACAAAATTATAGCTACGACATAATTCAACGGCATTTTTTTTATTATCATCAATTATGCCCAAGTACGCATATACTTTGACAGCGGAAAAAGATAAATATAGCTCTACCCTGCAGCTTTCGCGATATTCTATAATTAAGAGGGGTATCGTGTCGACTGTGAATTTTTTAGAAACACTTACCCATATTAATATCAAGTTCTACATCAAGAGGTATAACAGTTCCATTTGTGTCTATGCCCGCGAATGCGTATATGATGTGAGTGCAAAGGTACGGGTTTATGTCTTCCACGCCGAACTTGCCCAAACCTGGTCTGTTTACCGCCCAAGTGCCATAGTAGCAGATCACAACCTCTGTAAACATTATATTAAACATTATTCGGAATGTAGTTACAGAAGAAGAAAATTTGACTTTTGTTGTTTATTCTATCATTAATTCATGAAGTTCTAAAAATTTTTCTCATCAACAAAAACACAACACTATCAAAAGGTAGTGCTATTTCACTGTGGTTTTCTATAAGTTGAAGGTTACTTTCCAGATATGTACTCCAATTCAAGCAAGAAAACTTCTTTACCCTACTTATACTCTTACTATTATTCTTCCTCTTTTAAGGCGATTGACGATTTTCATCAAGGTAATGTTATATTCTTTAGTTTTGTGTTCCTGCAGTAAGCAAGATTTCAAAGATTCCGTGGTGAAGGGAACCAGAATTGCAAGGTGAGTTGTTGCCAGCCATATCAACTTTGTTCAATTCAGCTATCAACTCAACTCAACTTACACTTAACATTAGGCGCAGTGAAGCAAATTGTTGATGAAAATCGGCTTCATCATTATCATGAACCTTCCACTCCTGAGGTACTAGGGGTTTAATAACAAGTGCAGAAGTAGCCAGGACCAACGAAAATAAATATTTTGGCCATCCATTCTATGACATGCGAAAGTTGCTTAACTACCACAATCGCAGACTAAACGCACTACCACTTCGCCAATGAGTTTTCCAAATTGACTTTAAGATACATGAAAGATAAAGTTGCGAACTTAACATTGTCACCCTTCTTAGATGATCATGTAAGACATGAGATCTATTAACTATGATCTAGGGGCTTATTATTACGATTTCTTTTATTTCTACACTCATAAGGATATCTTTTAATTTGACATCACACCACAACAGTGGTGATATAATTGAGAGTTAATTATGATTACGTTCTTGACAAATAATGATTTAAAAGCACTGGATGAAAAACATGTAAAATTAAGCCACAAAGAATAAAGTTGTAATAAGCAAAAGGACGAAAGTAAATATTTTTGTTAGATAATGAATTCTGACTATAACCCACTCCAGTAACAAAATTTTCTTACTTTTGCTCGCATAAACTGCACTCAAAGCGCTCAACAACGCCACCAAAAGCAGAACCTTCATTTTGGAAACAAAACCAAAATAAAACAAGTGGCCGTGAACGAAGCACTAAATGAAACTAATTGTGGCCTGTATTTATATAAAGGTATCATTTTTTTTATCTCTGATTAAACTTCGGCGTCGATCTGATATTTAAGATAATGAGTGTATCTACACCCAACCATGGCATTCCGGTATTTCAAGAATGTCAAAAAATTGATCTCAAATAGTGCCAAATTGTGCCCAAAGGAAAAAATAGTGCTCTCATACTTAAAAAAACCGGCCAAGTGAGTGTCGTGCCACGCGCAATGTAGGGTTCCGTGGATATTTTATCGTGATTTCCTAAATAGTTTTTTTTTTGTTTTTGTGTTTCAATGCTAGGTTTTCTCAAACAAAATTTGTTACTTTATTGTAATAAGTATAATATTTTTTTAGCATTTAACTGCTAGATGTTTAAATCTAAAGAAAATGTTACTAGAAATAAATCAAGCAGCAGACGGGACTCGAGCCCGCACTCTCCGGTATCCGGGCGGACACGCTGACCATTATGCTACAGCGGCTCTAATGGCCGTCTCGAATTTTCTTTAGTGTTTTGTAGGCTGCAAGGCAGCGCCATCTATTCACATTGAATGTAACTCACAATGTCATACAAATACCTTTACAAGTATTCAATAATTGCAAGAGGAATTAGTAATTGTTTTTATATTTTTTAAGCATTTAACTTCTAGATGTTTAAATACAAAATTCTACGCGGACCAGGCGGAACTCGAACCGCACCCTGCGGTTTATGGTACCGCGGCCCCAATGGCCGTGTCGAATTTACTCTATTTTTTCTGACGCTGCAAGGCAGTGCCATCTCTTATTATCTATACTAGTATTAAACATTTGAAAGAAGAAATAGCCATTGTAGTCATATTTTTATTTTTTTATTATTTAACTGCTAAATGTTTGTCGGATGTTAATACTTTAGAGTTTAATATTTTGCAAATGGACCCAGACAATGGGTGGCAAATAGACGATGGAGAAAAATAACATTCCCACTTTACGTGTAGACGAGCCACCCTAAATATTTTTCTTTCCAAAATTTTATTCTGCCACATTGTCGGCGTGTTTGATATACATACCTCTACAAAATTACAGTTTTCCAGTGCCTCCAAGCTAAATCTGGGACGGAAAGACAGACGGAAACGACAAAACTATAAGGGTTCCTTGTCAGGACTACGAAATCCTCAAAAAAAGAGACTTTCGCTTTTCGCTCGACTTTCTATATCGTGCAAATGACGCGTTCAACCACTTTCAAATGTTAAATTTTGGAGTATTTTACTAAAATATTAAGCAACATTTGTAGTAGGTATATTCTGGTTAGGTACATATTTCTGTTATGTCAAAAATGCCACATTTACATATTTGCTTCAGAGATGTCCACTACTATGATTCGTGGAAATTCCTTCTTAGTGACCGGCTATCATTGAACTATCAGAAACTCTATATTGCGTCATAGCTTTGAAAGTTTTCCTGGCTCATGATTACTATCTTTGTGATGATAGTGGATTATTCAATCCTATTAGTAGTTATCGTTGATAACGTTAGCTAAATCTGGGCAGGTAAGGCATTTACATATCTTACTCGTGCTAGAATCATGGTATTCGTATTAGGACATCGCTTAATTCAAAGTGAAAATAAAATTAATATAGACATGTGTTTCTATTATAAATTAATCAATGTGTTGCTAACCAGCCATGAATTACTGTTGCTATGATTATATAAATGTTAAATTTGAAGATTTAAAGCTAATGGGGCTGTCATTGTTGTGTCATTGCTTCAAACTTGGGCCCAAAATGTAACAATATGAAAATAGTGTTATGAGATCATTTTTATGAGACCATTATAGCAATTTGTGTAACTTTTGCCAATTTGAGAGCAGAGTTATCAGAGTTTTAGTTGGTGCGAGGTTACATAACTTTCACCGGTATCTGACAGATGATTCTAAAGATTTATTTTATTTCCATTAATTGCAAAATTCAGTTTACGTATATCATTGGTTTACGTAATAAACTAGTAATCCTTGATGTCATTAGTCTATCAAAGGGCCAGACGTATAATACAGGGCAAATGTTAAATGAGAACTTCCACGGTTATTGCAAAGCTCATTAAAATCTGTAAAAACAATACAATCGTCGCTAGAATAAAACAAGCAAAATGCACAATGTTACGAAATCGTAATCGAAAGCACTGTTTCGACTTTGAATAACTCCTTATCCAAGAGGACAATTAGACTTACCCAATCTACTCTTATAATTTCATAGAGAATGAGAAAGGATTCCAAGTCCATAATGAGCGATAACCCTGTGGAAACATATAAGTAGGGGCATTTTATGACTATAGCCAAATACATTCAATTTAATGTTCTTATTTACTTTGTTATAGTAAAAAGTCAAGTTTAATGATAAATTTTATTTTCAGTTGTGTAAATCAAGTACTAGATAGTACGTATAGATTAATGTGAAGTAATCTGTTTTCTTAGCATCGTTTTTATATTCCTCTAATCACAGAAAGAAAATAGGACTAATATAATTTTTGAGAATAAATAAATATGCTCAATTTTAGATCAAATTTCGTTTAATTACATTATGGTTACATTGAGCCCATGATTTTCTATATCTTTTTTATATAAAAAAAACCACTTGATTCAGTTTTCAAACAGAATTCGAATCTGTGCCCTCCGCAATTCGGGCTGAAAATGTTGGCTTGTTCCTTTATCATGATAAAGTTGTTAAATAAATAAAAAGAAACTATTTAAAGTTGATTTTTTTAATAATGCAATGCAAGCAGTACAGCAAATAGTATAGAGTAAACTGCAAATAATGTCTTATCAACAGCTTCGGCTAGCTCTTCCTTTTCACAGAATTTGTTGTTTACTTCTTGCATTTCTTCTATATTTCCGTTTCCAGGTGTTGGCATGGCACTATCATCTTCTTGAGATAAGAATCCTTCGTTAATCGAATTGTAGTTTCTGCATACCTTTAAAAAATATTTATTCATAAATGCTGCATACTTTTAAAAAATATTATTATAAAACTATATCAAAATATTTATTGTAAAAAAATAACTAAAGTTGGAAGAAAGTAATAAAGTTGATATCAATCTGATTGTGAAAAGAGATAAAATTAATTAAGTATTAGTGGTATTAGTGAAAACAGAAAGACAGACATTGAAAAAATTATAATAATAATATTCTTTATTGAAATACACCTCAGAGGACATACAAGACATTAAACATGACAGTGAAAACGTACACAATAGGCGGCCTTATTGCTAAACAGCAATCTCTTCCAGGCAACCCATGACAGTGAAATAAATAAATAAGGGGAACAAGAAGGGGGGGTGTAACAGGTATGGTAAAATAAATAATGAATAATAGATGCAATAGATATATACAAAGAGAGAGACAAGAGAGAGGTAAGACTTAAAGTTGGGAAAGGAAATAACCTTTAACTTGATCAAATTAATGCTAAGTTAAGATTTAAAATTCGTGAAGTCTAAGGAAGGGTTTTCCGGTTATTTTAAAGGAAACAATCTGAAAATAATATCAGCAATGAACGGGTAGTACTTACCATCAACACAGGGAGGCAATATAATGATCTGAAGTATTTTGAAGACAATATATTTTGCATCACCATTGTTTTGCAGAGTTTTTCTGCGATAGGTGTCATTAGAAATACTTGAAGCACGAGCGCACCCAATATCGCATCAAGTACTGTTATGTAGAGAGTCACTGAAACAAATGTAACATTTATCATAACCAGCCTTTCGATGCTGTCACTGCAAGACTTATAACCCACCGGTAAGGTCAGTGTGGATTGGTGGGTGCTAATGACTGCAGATGCAACCGGGACCAGTGGTTTAACGTGCACGAAGCACAAAACAGCTAGAGATAAATAATCCTATAATATTGTAAAAGTCGCTTTATTTCCATGATCTCAGACTAAACACAACTTTCGCCATCAGGAATCAACCAGGGCTAGTTCTGAACTCAAAGGAAGATACTTTACATTCCAATGTAAGCTGTCTCCTTGTAATTACAAAAACTAACATAAAGAATATTTTTAACTGAATTAACTAAAATCTTTGATCTTTTGGGATGGTTAGCATCAACGGTCGTGCAACCATACTTCAATTCCAAAGCATATGGGCGCTGGATTTCCGATGTGCCTTCTGGGCAAAGAGGAGCTCAAGATACGATTTTTGCGTTGTTACGCGGACCACGAGTAAGAAACGATTTTTGGTCACCCATACGATAACCATCAGATTAATATCTCTAAGTATCTAGTAGATATAGGAGTATTTTGATTAAAATGTTGTTTGATTAGTAGTTCAATACACCGTATCTATCAGGAGATTATGAAACTTTTTATCGGTCGCTATCATTTACTCGTGGACATTTTAATTAGTTGCTTTTAATTAACAGTCGAACGGTAATATCAGGAATTTATCAAGCAGTTTTTTCGGTACATAGACACTTTTACTATTTAAGAAGAAAGAGAGATTTTTCAAACATTACGCTCTGTTTTTTGCAGTCCTGAATTTATTCATTTGTCTTTTTTTTTGAATTAGTAAAGACGCTAGACGATAGCTTGACTGGCGATAATTTGATACGCTAAAAGAGTTTGTGGAAAAGGAAAAATTTATACGTGCGGAAGGAGCGTACTTACTTAATTCAAAGTTCTAACGCTAATTTTAGCGCAAATCAACCAAAGCCACCCGAACCTTCGTAACGCAGGTGTGGGATAGGAAACAGATATTTTGAGATAAGAAAAATATACTTACATATACTTGGCACTATGTGGCAAGGCATCACGTAATCGATATAGCAAAGTCCCGTACATATGACTATAGATGCACCTGCATAGAACCACACCCTGGACATTTTCAGTTGCTCACTCCAAAACGACATCAGTACGAAAACCATTAGCACTGGAAAGTTTAGTAAATAATTTGATATAAGTACAAAAGGGTAAGTAAACAACGTGTCAGCATAAGTAGGATACAAATGTTAGCTCTTTTGTGAAGGTTCATAAAATGTTAAAAAAGTATGGGCAGCGCGTTATATAAAATATTAGTTTTTTCATTTCCTTTTCATGTGTTGGACCTCCGATAAAAATAATATTAATTAAATTTTTTAACTAAACATTCAGCTTTGAGCAATAATTGTAGATAAAATGCCGCAATTTCAGTTCTGCAACTTTTTCCGTTTATGATCTAGAGACCAGACATACTTATGACCAGACAGATAGACAATAGAGTGACAGCAATAGAGTTCCGTTTTTACCCTTTGGATACTGGAATCCCAAAAAACCTCCTCCTGGAAGCAAATACGTGAGACAGATCGTCACATTCATGTTATCTGACTTAGAAATATAGAAGCAAGTCCAATTATATGGTAGAGAAACTTATGATGTTTCTTTATCTGTTAGAGGATTTTAAAAAGCTCTTTTAAACCATCTTTGAATTTTCCTTCCAACCGTTCGAGACATCTTTTAGCTGATAAGAAGACTACTTCTTGTCAGCTATGTTGTCTAGTGGCGTAAGATACCTATCAGATTTTAGTAAATAATATCACGTATTTTCAAATAAGCTTACCGATTAGTGGTGTATAGAATACGATATTGTAAGTAGTGGCATGCCTCTGTATTTCGACTTGTATCACGAGACGATCGCTCCTGTGTGTAGCGTTGTTCTGCGTGGGATACAGCAGGTCCCATACGTCGGAAGCAACCACCGTCTGACTCCAGCTTAGTATCTGCCATTCGTTCTCCGCCCACTCGTCGTAATCTGAAAACTTTGTCAGGTACTTAGTTGTAATTTTTTAAACATTTAACTGCTAGATGTTTAAATCTTAAGAAAATTTTTGTAGAAAAAAATCCACGCGGTGCGGTCAGCAGACGGGACTCAAACCGAATCGAATTGTAGCGTGAGCGTGGACTTTAAATGTAGAACACGCAGAGCTCACGATTTATGGCTGACGCACATAAATATTACTAAGTAAAATTAGTATATAAGATGCAAACTAAAATAAATCTTGCTCTTAGTTATCAAGCTACTAGTGACGGGAGATGAGGAATGAAACAACCAGTGGTTGTTTCATTCCTCATCTCCTCCTCCAGGACCATCCATCACATCCTCCAGGAGCCAAAGAATAATAAACTACAATTGCTATTTCTTCTTCAAATATTTATTTCTTGTAAAGATATTTCGTTTGACATTGTGGGTTACCTACAATGCGATGAAATGGCGCTGCCTTGCAGTCTAAGAAATGCTATAAGAAATCCGACACGACTTTTAGGGCCGCGGCCGCGGTATGCATCCGCCCAGATAGTGGAGGGTGCGGGTTCGAATCCTGTCTGTTGTCTGGACCGCGTGATATTTGTTCTGGTAATTTTATTTTAGGTACTTAGTTGTTTATTATTGCTTTGACATGTTGCTTCTTTACGTCTCTTATAAAGGATCCCGGGTTGTAAGAGGGAGCGTACTCATGAGCGGGTAAACCATTCCATTTGAGGACAAAGAAATGATTCAGGGTATTTCTAAGCGAGGTAGGGTATAGCGGATTTATTCACTCAAATTGCAGCGCCCGTCTTACGCTCATGCCCGCTTACCACCAGGCGGGACATATGCTTGTTTACTACCCTGTTAGGATAAAAGTATAATTCTCTGTTTTGCGTAAAAGTGAAAAAATGGCCACAGACGTAAACCAGCGCGCGTGGTCCTCCGAAGAAACCTCACCTCATCATCAACCGCTCAGCTTCATTAAAACTATAGCTTCTATTCTCGGTCTTCTGTACTAATATTATAAATGTGAAAGTTTGTATGATAATTACCCAATTACGGAAAAACTACTGATTGGATTTAGATCAAGATTTACGCATGTTGTTTATGACCTGGATTCAGAAATAGGATACTTAATATCATCGAATAGTGTTATGTTCTTGAGGGATTTAAAAAAAATCAAATAAATCCGGCCGAAATCGCGAGTGGCCGCTAGTATATTATAATTTTAATATTACCTTCTGTAAAAATATTAAACTGATTGTAGGCACATAAAAATTCATTAACTTCTTTTTGAGATTTTTGCAAACACGGATAATCCAGACTTGGTAGGTATTATTTAGAGGGGCCATACACGTTACAACAGTCGCACGGATTTTGGTCGTATGCGACAAGTTCGATCGTGAATGGATTGGTCGTAGAGCGGCAACGATATTAAATAGCCTATATACACCAACACGAACAAAATCGTACCCGAAACCTGTCCAAAAGGTACATTGGACGATTCACGGAGCTCCGTAAGATGATCGCGTTGTCAAAAACAATATTAGGCATTATTTAAACATGGAAAGTCACCTTTAATGCCTACTTTATAAGATCTTAATTAAAACGCAATCGTCAAAGAGTTGTGACAGTTCGAAATGCAAGTTCGTTAAATTTTATAACTTATTGCTGTATGCGGCAAAAAGAAGCAGCAATATAGATCTTATTTCTTTGACACTGAATTGAACTTGAATGCGCTGTAAGCAATACAACAGGTACGGATCTCGAGGAAAAGAGATGGCTGTATAAGCGACCATGCATTTGAATATAACAAATCAGTTTATAGTAAGTATTAGAACAAAATTTGCTTCAAATGCTTTATATTAACTAACATTGATTAGATACCTGTCGAAAAAACGACATTTCATATACTATAAATATTTTTTTCGCATTTTTCACGGAGCTCCGCGGAAACATGACTTTCCAACGGTCCACGTGTGACTGTGAACCAAGAAGTGCTTGAGTGACGTTCAAGCACTTCTTGATTATGTTGTAAAGCGGACTGAACGACCAAGGTCATGTCGCCAGTCCGTTGCAATACTTATCGGAATGTGGTTCGATCGAGGGTCTGTACGACTGTTTCAACGTGAATAACCTCTTTTATTGATAATTTATGATAAGCATGATTCATATCTCTCAACCATCACTTTGTTTCTACGCAGGTATTTAAATTTATCTGTATGTAAGCTTTGTGTATTAATTTGCAATCAGTCAAAACTAATGGCGTTACCGAATGGAATGAAACATTTTTTGATGATTCATTTTAAACAATAATTACCTATAATTGAACATTATTGAAATTCAGAGATCCTTCATTATAAGCAGTGCAGCTTATAAGCTATCAGAGACCCAAGCACGAATTTTGATAGCTCCGTAATCGTATCGCATCGTCAAAGTTTTTATGAAAACTAAGCAGCGTCTCTACCGGACGTAAGAACAAACTGGCTTCTTTCAAAAGAAATTTGATGATGACGATACGATTACGGAACTGTCAAAATTCAGGCTTAGGCCTTTGTGTCAAAGAAGTCTCAAATACTTACTGACTTTATGATGGGTGTAGCTTTAGTGATCGCTGATAATGTTATCTTTTCGTGTGCTTCCCAAGGCTGTACAACGATAGTGCAATTATATTTGTCGCGTGGCCAACTAAAAAAAAAACTTTAAGTCTTGAAATGTAAAAAAATATCAATAGGCTAGTAAGTATTTGGTCTAAGGAACCTAAATATATCGATTTCACTTCATAAAAGCAGAACATTGCTGTCTTTACTTTTTAAACACTAAAAACGCTGTTCACCACATAGGTTAGGACATATTTTAGATGTCAAGGATTTATCGGGGAAACGGAGTTTTATAAAAACAGAACCACTTACTTTATATCAGAAGACTCTGTGTAACACCAAGTATCCACGGTGGCTTTGAAATGGAAGGATGCTTCACCGCTATAAAGCATATTGACTTCTTCATGGCCGGTGGTCTGAAGAGCATCAAGGCTATCTGAACTAAAAGCCAATATATTAAGGAAAAAGTAGAAAGAGGTTATCCATCTAAGATCATTGTCTAAAGATTGAAGACAAGCCAAGGCAAATAAAGAAGACAAATAATGCGGTTAGTGTACGACTTAAAGGTATTTTGAATGAGGAAGCAGCTACAACCCTCCTCCTCCGCCTCCTCCGGATTTTCTTAAGCAGATAATCAAATAAATAGTAGATTTAAGGATGACGTACTTGAAAATATGAAATATCGGCCTCCAAACTTGCCCTTGTCGGTATGTCACGCTAGTAATATTATTGAACTTGTCGGGGTTCCATGAAAGGGTCTCGTCCTTCCAAATCTGTAATGTTAATTATTTAAATAATATTAATCAAAAATCTAATGCGGAACTTTTAATCAAATGAGGAATGATTCTGCAACTTTCTGAAATTACTGGAGGTTGTGTTTTACGTAGGTGTAAAAGTTAAAAGGAAAATTGGTATTAAATTACCACATGAACACGGTTCTAAGTGTTTTATACGCTAAACTGTGAAAGACAACACACGTAAGGGTGCCAGAGAATATAAAAATAACCATGATCATAAAATGTTAATGTTTTTATTCGAATTAGATATAACTAATTCCAATTTTCTACCACTTTATACTCGTTTAGCAAAGAATTTATTGGTTCATTGAAATCTTCTTTTGGTGTACTGCTACATGAGTATGAACTTAGTCTAAAAATTGTAAGCGAGAATATGCATAACGTTTCACAAATCAGCTCTTCCATTATACTCGAGTTCGTTATTCGTTATTTTATTTGGTGTAAAGGTTAAAGTCAGGAATTCCAAATTTCTTACAGTAAGTATCGTCATTCTTGTAATAAGTTTTGCTTCTAGAGCGTCGTATGTGATTCCCGAGATGAGGACGCTCAAATTGACCGGCACGCTGGGTCCCGGTGCCATATGCGGTGGTCTGTCTTGTAACATCTCCTTTTTTAGACGATCAGAATTGGACAGTTTCCTTTCAACGGCCTTCGAGTGAGGGAGCGTTTGGTTAGTCACTGGAAAAAAACGGGTTCAAATAATTACTCCAAACACCGTATTTGACCTGGGGAAGAGCCACAACATTAATTTTACCAGCAGTATTTGTTGCAAAGTAAAAGTTTATAATATAAAGCAACATCAAAGAGTATTTTCAGTGCTCCAGTTTAAACCATATAATTAATAATAATAATAAGCATTTATTGGCTTCAACAACTATTTGTTGAAATTTATTTCTGTTTCGAATATAACGTAAAATTCTCGGTGTGATTTATGGTTATACATTACGATATTTTCTTGGTATTTTTGTAATAACAGTGTTCTCTTTAACGATCTCCATTAATTTAAATATCAAACTTTTAATGAATAAGTCAGGATCATCACAATATAACAATTATGTAACATTTTTATTTATAAGACCCTTCCAAGAGGCTTCAAAATTTACATTAGTCCTGTAGTCTTTCATGTATATGGCGATTATTAATTTTTGTTTTGAATGATTGTAAGAAATGTCGTAAAATTATCTGTGCTTGTGTGCAGCACAGCAATAGTGGCATGCTGCTTAGTTTTATTAATTTTTAACATAAAATGGTCTAAGCAATTCTTGCCTCTGGTAGGTATCGTATGACCTGCAAGCAAACCGTGAAATGAAAACATGTTTGCATCATTACTTGACAAAAGTTGTGATTTTGAAAATGTTTGAAAAGCTGGTTTATCATAAGAAAATAGTTTCTGATGCTAAAAGGATGATGAGTTCTGCAGAAGAAGTAATGTCGCCGACATAACCCAAAGAATAACGAGCTTTAAATGGGCAGGGTACATTTCAAGAAGGACTGACGGCCGTTGGGGTGTTAAAGGTCCTCGAGTGGTTGCCACGTACCGGGAGACCCAGTGTTGGTAGACCGCTGGATGCATGAAGCGCAAAACTTATGGGTTTTTAATTCCTTAGCGGAGGCCTATCTCCAGCAGTGGAGGTCTCTCGGCTAATATGATGATGATGTTGTATAAAAAATACTCACTGTCTCCTACTGCTGGGCAGTCGTACAAGAATTTAGCGTCTACACCAGCCCAAGCAGCGAAACTAAAGTATCTTATGTCGATAGGGTTCATATCTAGGTAACTGAGGATTGGAAGAGTGGCACCTTCCTCGCCAAACTCTATCAAGCGACCTGGAAGAATAATAGTGATTAGGAGCTGTGGTTGGCACGTTCGGCTGCGATCGTTGAACTTAAGCAACTTGCACAGTGGTAGGTGATTGGATGGGTGACCAAAAATTTACTATCTCAAGCTCCTCCGTGCTTCGGGAGGCACGTTAAACCGTTGGTCCCAGTTGCATATGCATTCGTTAGTACCCACCAATATGTTGTAAGATTGTATTCAATGCAACAAATTGACAATTTAAATTACCTAACTATAATTAAGTTATTTCAGACATTTACAAAAGTGATTGTAATATAATTTTGCTTTATTCACAAAAAAAAATCATTACTTATTATCAGAAAGTTTAAAAGAGCGTCGTCGTTAAAATTTCAGATGGTAAAATGCCTTTTGAAATTACAAAGATCTGTTTAAAGATTTTTATTTTATTAGAAAATTTGTTTAAGTTGCGAAATGTTTCAGTTAGGTACACACACTTCTTAGACTCGTTTGTATTAGACTAGAAAGTCGGCCGATTGGCGAATTTGTCAAAACGCAATTTGCTATGACACATTCACTATTGCAATGTGTCAAAACGGCTTTTATAGCATGCCGCGACTATAAACTTGGCCGAAAAGACCCTAAAATTTAAAAAAGCAAAAAAAATAATTACTATATATCTAGCTAATGGAATAAACTACTAGCCTACAGGGTACGATCCTCTAGAGACCCTAATTACGAATCCCCGAAGCTCGATGGCAGACAGTATTCCGCTTGTCGCCTTCGACGCCTTGGCGTTACGTTTCAGATTGCGTCGCAGCTCGGTGAATCTGTTACTGCCTCCGCCGACCACTAGAAAGATTAGAAAAAAATTAAAATGTTAGAGCGTTTATCCACCACGGCCGGTCGGAGGTCAGTGGGAGCGTGGAGGTCAAGGGGGTTCGGGGTGGTCAGGGGTGACAGGCAGGGTCAGGTGGGTCAGGGGGTCGCGTCGGGGTGGTCATGGGGATAGTCGAAGAATTCCTCGACTTTACCTCACACATACCGCGGACCTTTTAAGTAACTCGTGACTCATCTCACATTATCATAACGTGATTGAAATGACTGCCTCTACTCTGCATACGACAATTTCCGGTTTTTAACCACATCTGCTTAAGATTACCTTCTAATATGACTGTTTCTGGATTCTACCATTTCGTCTTTCCCCCACTTTCAGTACAGTGCGAAAAAAGATATAAAAATATGTTTTTGTAAAAACCTATAAGGTTACTAGCTGACCCAGCGAACTTCGAATCGCCATAAAAATAGGGAGTGATGGTAGAAGGGTGAAAATGTAGGGTTGTATGTATTTTTTGATGCCACGTTATAAAAAAATAAAAATTGTCCAAAATGTAAGGGGTGGAGAACCCTTATCACTTACGGGTATGAAAAATAGATAGTAGCTGATTTTCAGACCTACTGAATATACATATAAAATTTCATAAAAATCGGTCAAGCCGTTTCGGAGGAGTATGGTAACATTGTATACGAAAATTTTATATATATATATAAGATGTTACTGATGTGATAATAATAATAATATTACGGGTATACCGGTAGCTTGGGCCTCGCTCCGCTGCTGGTGGCCTTCTAGGTTAGGTTTTTTATACTATATTTATTTTTGTATTTACGTTGTTGTATTTTACTTTTATATCTATTTTATAAAAAACCTAACTTGTGAAATGAAATAAATGAGAGTATAATAATATTACGGGTATTATAGTTATTTTTATATTAAGGGTTACTTCTTGTTGTTCACTTGAAGAAATCAAAATCAGTTGCTTTTTTTGTACACTGTATTAAAGGTAGTCATATAAAGAAGTGTTCAAAAGCAGAAATGGTCGTATGCAGAGGCAGTCATTTCGAAAAGTGGTCTCCAAACTTAACTAGAAAAAAAACCAATAAAGAGTTGTTCCCTAAACGTCAAACCTTTTTTGCATACCGTAATGAAGGTAGTCAAATAAGGAAGTGGTCAGAAGCAGAAATGGTTTACACAAAAACTAGGCTTTACAAGAAGTGATCGAATCCAGAAGAGGTCATTACTAAAAAAATACCAATGAAGAACTGGAGACCTACTCTATTTCAACGAAAAACGAAATTTCGATCGAAATTTCGCACGTTCCTTACTCTCTTTCTATTTCATTTCGAATATCGAGATAATGGTTCGAAATTTTAACCTCAAATTGACGAAAAGAAAAGTGTTGCCTTTTCATTTTCGTTTTGGGATTTTTGTTTAAATTAAACCTAAAATTACAACTAGAGTATTTTAAATTAAGGCTGCTTAGCGTGAGGAACATTTTTTAGTATGAAAAATTTACAAGTAAAACAATTTTTTGTTTTAAATTGTATTGCCATTACTTCAAAGTGTTACACGACAAATTTAGGTTGACATACATTCGATTGCATAAACTCTACAAATTGATGAATTGTAATTGTAATCAAAAATTTTGTCATAAAGTAATATTGTTTTGAAGTAAAAAACGTTATCTAAAAAGTGTAGACAAAAAGAACTCACAAACATAACTCATTCCATTCGTTCACGATAATTGTCTGTGATTCCGAACTGTATGTGCGTGTTCGAAGATAAAATAGAGTAGAGTCACTGACGAAATTTCGTTTAAAATTCGTTCGTTGCCGAAATTTCGTTTCGGAGAAAGAGAATAGAGCTCCTGGTCCTTAAACGTCAAACCTAAGTTAAGCGATTATTACAAAGGATTGTCATCAGTAGAGCGATTTTGTAAAATAAAATCTCACTTCGGATTTCGGTAGCTGCCGTTTTAGACCTTACAATTTGATATGGATTACGCCATTTCACGGCAAAATGTCGCTATATCTGTAGAAGTAGCAAGTATTAGACATTTGACATTTATCATAAATCCGCATTAATGAGATCGCACGTGAGATTTCATCTTACAGAATACCTATGCAAGCAGTATTCGCTATGTGCGAAGTACATGGTGGGGGTATAGTGAAGCGATCGCAGCGCTTATCGTGGCAGAAATACGCAACAATCCGGGAAAGTAAAGTCAATTTGCACGGAGTTCGTAATAAACAAAAATTTTTTAAAATGCCTATTAATAGATGTTGTTGTGTTGTGAATTGCAAAAATAAGGGCACAAATAGTCTGTGTATATATTTCCTACATTGGACTGGAAATTAAATCAAAGAAATAAATGGATAGATGCCATAAAAAGAAATAAGTAAGCGAAATAACCTTAAATTATGATCAATTTTATTTGCGCTATATATTTTATGTGATATTCATTATTGTCTTTATTATTTTAGTGTTGATGGGTCGCCATGGTATCCCAAACCTGACGACACAATTTGTAGTGAACATTTTATGGGAAACAAAAAATCAGACGAGGAAGAAAATCCGAGTTATGCTCCTACGATATTCCCTGAAATATATCGAAAGAGGAAGGTTAATGATTCACAGGTCCTAGCTAGATATACACGCTTGACAAAACGAAGAACCACAAAAGTCTCAGATACCACATCAAGTCAAATAATAATTGAAGAAGGGAGTGAATTAAATCAAACTCAACCTTTTATGATCGATCAAGGATGTCAAGTCAATATGTTTTCTGAATCGAAATTAAGAGATACAACTTTTATTTGTATTAGATTAATTTACAGTGATCACTGTGATCCAACATCAAGAATTTTAATGACAAATAATTCAAGAAAGAAAGATAAAAGCTGTGGCACTGACAAAAAATCGTATGAGGATCAATCTACCGAAACAAAAAGTCAAGAATTTGTTGGTATTTCATCAATAACAAATGATCAAGAACTCCTAGATCCTTCTGGTGTGTCATTTAGCAATTTTGAGTTTTTATTAACAAGATTAACTATGAGAAAATGTACAGTTTCCACTAAAGACCGACTTCTGATTTTTTTGATAAAAATGAAAACTGGCTTGACATTTTCAGCATTGAGTGTGTTATTTGGTGTACAAAAAAACCACAATCTCACGTATATTTCATTCGATCTTACAAAATCTAGCTTGTTCAACTGCTAATTTAATCTTTTGGCCGAATAGAGCCACCGTACAAGCACCAATGCCCAAGTGTTTCAGTCCAGATTACATCAATACAAGAGTTATTATTGACTGTACTGAATTCCGAATTGAAATCCGACATTATTTAAATTATTATACAATATATAATAATTTTTATTTATCTTTACCTTACTATATTTACTAGAAATCAATAAAATACAAACTGATGTCATTATTTGGCATAATCCCGGAAAGTTGCGCATTGTAGGTGGCGCTACTGTCGTGCACATAGCGAATACTATCACCTTATATTATATTGTAACTGTCACTTTAAAAACTACATTGTTTTTTCTTTTTATTAATGTTCACTACTACTTGTAAATGTACTGTAGTTATTAGCAGGATTGATATGTACCTTGTTTTTAGTAAGTCTCCGATATTTGAGAGGCTCATATAAAATAAGGTACATGATAGCTGTAGCAGGTACAGATAGTGATCATGAAAGTTTAAAACAATATACTTTTAAATATATTCCATTGGACCGCTGCCATGCAGTTGCAACCTAAGAATTACTAGATGAAATTCAACATTCCTTATTAGATAGGTACATAGCATTTCTTCTGTAAACTATGGTATCTGGACCGAGTCGCTTTTTTCTAATAAAATTTTCTTTAAGTATACTATTATTGTTTTGGCTAATCACAATAATGTATTTCATCCTAACATTAATTTATCGTATTCAATATTGACATCCTGTTCCTTGTTTATAAAAAAATAATTGTATTTTTATATTGCTGACGTTTTCGGTGTATTTATATAAATTTAAATTTATATATTTATATAAATTAACTCACCTATTTCATATACGGAATCATTTATCGTCGGGTACGGCTTAGATGATAGCAATATGTGCCCGTTGTTTACCGCCTGTATCGCTATATGCATCTCCAGTAGGTAGTCAGTCGTAGATGTACTGTGCTTGGTGTCCTCGCTATCCACCTCATAGAACTGGCTGTAGCTGTAGCCCTCCTGGCAGAAGTGCTCTTTGCATTGCATTGCCACTAGGAAGAGACATCCATAAGTATTAACATTACAAAATCTTATTTATCCTACTATGCTCAAGAAGTTGTATATCGCAAGGGGATAGCGCGTTCGGCCTGCAAGTGTAGAAATTAAAAACATACTATTTCGAGCACTTCCGTGCTTCAGAAGGCACCGTCCGTTGGTTCCGGTTGCATCTTTTTTTTATCAAATGTCTCCGACAAATAACTCCACCCCACCTGATGGTAGGTAACCTCCAGAACTCCACGCCCAGACGCGAAGATAGCTGGTACTGCTGTACCAGCTGCTGTCTAAATGCCCACACCAGCTGTCTAGCTAGCCTCATCTTGCCGGCCTGCACATTGCTTATTCACGTCTCTTTTAACGGATCCTGGGTTGTAAGACGGCAAGCGTGCAGTCTGCAGTTGTCTGTTGTTAGCACCTACCAATCCGTATTGTACGGCCTTATCTTTCTATTTTATCCATTGGGCAAGCCTGTGTAGAAGCAGTGGGATTATTAATAGGCTAATGATATTTACAAGTAGTGTAATTTGTCTAGGAATATGCTTCCTCCCACCTACATCCCGGGAACCTTCAAAAGAGGCGTGAAACATATTTTTCTGTCGCTTACAGGTTCCCACAGCAAGTTAAGGGTACCTACTCAATGAATCTTTCAATTTACTCACTTGCATATGTGTAAACAAAAGTGGATCCATTTAGAGCTGCTGCTTTAGAAGGGAATATAACTAACAAATATACAAAACACGATTTTAACCACTTCATATTAACATATAATTTAATTGATTGTTTTTAACATGGAATACACTTGTTATGTGTTAGTGCGAGACACTGTTTAAATGTTGTTGGAACTTTTTTGTTTTAGCTCTCTGCGTGGGTTGAGTGCGTTATCACAGCGGGACTTTTAATTGAATTTTAAAACAATCAAAATTATTGATTGTGCTAAATAAATAATTTATGTTTTGTAATTATTCATGGTGATTACTTAAGTAATTTTGTATTGGTACTCCTTCTTTTTCTTTATAGGGTATTTAAAGAATAAGTAGCAATACTAATTCACATATCTTTATTGTAAATGATTCTGGGATGTTATGGCTGGATTAGGGGTATAAATAATAGATATCCCTTGCAGTTAATTCCGAATTGATCCCATTACTTACCATTTGGGGTAGCGTCCTCACTAAAGGAAACAACCGGTTGCCAGGGTCCGTTCCTGCTCATCATACAATGAAATAGCCGGATAGAGAAGATCCTCTCCCAAAGTCGATACCAAAGTGCGACGCTACTGCGATTATGTCGAAAACTTTTTAAGAATATATCGTATAGTGTGCCCCCATGCAACTCCACACTAGGGATATGAAAACTCAAAATTATTTATTCAGTTTAGGCTGTTACAAGCGCTTATGAATTTCTATAAGCTACTCTAATGGTTCTTAAATTTACTGGTATTTACAGAACCGGCAAGTAATTCAGCAAGGGTTATTTTTTTCTCCCTGAATAAGGATTTATGGAGTTGTCAAGTTATAAAATGACTTTAGAGATGATTCATGAAGTCAGTTTTCATTACATAATATGAAATATACATTAAATTGTTCATCTGCATTTTGATTGCTGTGTCAATACATAAAGTGTTAGTTACTTTTCGAGTATTAAACATTCGAAAAAAGAAATGGAAATAATTGTAGAATTGGTCACTTCACTATTATTATCTCATTGGTCTGGCCAGTGTTATGGACACTATGCTATAGAATACAGGAAGAGCTGTCCACTTATCGCTCCGGATATGAGATTGAACTGTTGCATTCATGATTATAATGGCATTATTTTAAAATTTATCGTTTGTTTGGTTTATTAATATTTTTATCTTTACCAAACGAGTTAAAAATAATGTGGCTGGATAATTTGAGATTTTAGATAAATGCAATAAATCCCTAAATGAAATTGTAGTCATTTTCCCGATGACCTAAACGATTTATTGAAATTAAGCAGTAGTTTAAGAGAGATAAGGCATAGCGAATTTTCTGCTCGGATTGGAGCTCCTGTCTGGGGAAGTAACCACAGCAGACAACAGTACAGTAATATAATACTTCCTTTTGGTTTTGTGTTTCTGTCGGTGAATAAGATCTAGGGCTCCACGGAGTTTTATCAGGGTAGGCAACGGCGCGAGTGTAATTTTTGGTATCGCAAGCGTCTATAGGCTATGGTGGCCGCTTACCATTGGATTTATGACCACATGCTTGATTGCCTCCCTTTTTAAATAAAAAAAAAAGGAATTATTGACTCCTTAGCATTCCAAATTAGAAGAAGTTCAAAATATCCTTAGTTTTCAAACGACTGTCCAAGAAAAAAGGGTGTAATTATCATTTCTGGATATTCCAATGGGAAACAGAGTTTGAAACACGGGAAACGTTATCTTAAACGTTTGTTGATTGATTCAAAACTTTATATTCAGCCACTATCACTACTACTTGGAATGATTAATAACGGGGTAAGTACTTAACCCCTATTAAACATTTCAAGTAAGTCACACAAACCATTATCAGCACCAATTATGACGATCCGAAAGCTGTCAAATTCAATGTGGACCTACGTCAAACTTTTACACGTTACCTGATTCGACCCAAAACGGCGTATTAGCATAATATTATAGCGGACTTAACCCCTTCAGGAATTACCATCAAATGGTAATAATACTGGAACATTTCCAAAGGCGCGCCCAGATCCGTCGCGATTCAAAATGATCTTGGTGAAATGCAAATTGCGCGGTGCTAACGTAGTGGGGTTTGTTACTTGCTCAAGGTGCCTTTATAGGTCCAGACTCGAATTTTAAAAAACTGATTATAAAAACTCTTTGTAGCGGAGGAGGCTTCTTGGATTAAATAACGCAGAACTCGAAATAAATATTATTAATTCGCTGTTTAACAATTATATTTGAAGAGAAGAGTAAAAAGTACAGTTGATCGTTACGCGCTTAAAAATTGAATAGAAAAAAAAAAGTTAACAGCGTTGAACCCGACGAATTTGCCGCTGCAGATCATTCATAGCCTTGGCGTCAACATGCCCCCGGCCTTGGAAGCTGTAGCTTTCAATGATGCTCCTTGGTTTCTACTGGAAGTGGACATATCTTCGAGAATGCTCGCCTCACAATTCCAGATGCAGTCCGGATATCAGCAACGCGCGAAATGCCATCGTTGCCAGGATAAACCTTAGTCACTCTGCCCAAGTTCCACCTTAATGGTGGTGCGTTTGTGTCTTTAATGACCACCAATGTTTCGATTTCTATGCTAGACTTATTCGTTTTCCACTTCGACCTCGTCTGCAGCTCCGAAACAAACTCAAGGGACCAGCGCCTCCAAAAGTGTTGTCGCATTTGCTCAACCCGTTGATACCTTGTCACACGATGCATGGGTCTATCTTCTAGATTAGTGCAAGTAGGGGCAGTGAGAGGTCGACCGATGAGAAAATGAGCAGGGGTGAGCGGTGACATATCTGTGGGGTCTGAAGAAAGTGGAGTCAAAGGTCGGGAATTCAGTACCGCCTCGATCTGCGCCAACATAGTAGTGAACTCCTCGAATGTCAAGTGTGCATTACCTATTACTCGCCGGAGATGATACTTACAGCTCTTGACTCCGGCCTCCCACAATCCACCAAAATGAGGCGCATAAGGGGGGATAAAGCTAAACTTAATACCTTGACTAGATGCATAGTTAATAATTTTATCTGACGAATTAGAAATAAATTTTGCGAATTCATTCATGAGCCCAACGAAACATTTGCCGTTATCAGAATAAATTAATAAACCTTTTTAAAGCAAGCAAATAAGCGTCGGTTGTGAGATCACTAACCAACTCTAAATGAATAGCACGAGTAGAAAAACATACGAATAAGCATATGTATGCTTTAATAGTCTTAGCTCCACTACCCTTTCTGTTTAATATGAGCACCGGCCCCGCATAATCAACACCGCAGATCCTAAAAGGATAGCCTGGAGTCAGTCGGTCCTTGGGTAAATTACCCATGATAGGTTCAGGTGTCTTAGCCCTCAACCTCGCACACCTAACACAGTTATTAACTACCTTTCTAGCAAGGTTGCGTCCTCCTATCGGCCACCAATTTTCTCGAATTGTGTACAAAAATAGCTGAGAGCCAGCGTGTAATAATTTAAGATGCTCTTGTTCAAAAAGAATAACTGATAATCGATGTTTGGATGATATTAGAATAGGATGCTTTTTATTATATTCAAATTCAGAGGAGCCAAGTCGACCACCAATGCGTATAATCTGATAGTCGTCGATGAACGGGCTTAAATTCAATAAATTATGTTTATGTGGTAATATTTTTTTATTAATTAATAGTTCATAACTATCTGGAAATGATTCCAGCTGTGAAAATCTAACCAATAAGTTAAGGGATATTTTTAGTTCATCGGTAGAAAGTGGCCCGGTGCGTATATTGTTTTTATTATTTGAACTTCTATTATAACAAGCACGTTTCAAGCGAGCAACGCCACGAACCAGACGATCGAGTTGCGAGAACTTATGGAATGGAAATCTAAATTGCTTATTTTCATTTGTAGTAACAAGAGCGTGTGTCACATTTTTTATTTCAGGCAGCTCTTGCTCTAAGTTGAATTTAGACGCAGATGCATAATCAAAGTACGATTCGCGAAGAAACTCTGGTCCGATTGATTGCAATTCGTTAAGTGACACATTTGAAGTTGACTTTTGGCTCGCATTAAAAACCACTCGCAATTTTGTTGTTGTACTATGATCACGAAACACCCCATGATGAGGCATGAAATAATATGGTTTAGAATATGTATCAACTTTAGACATATGACCTAAACTTTGATATTCATGAATAAAATCAGAATACATTTTTTTTAAAGAAGGATTGCATTGTAATCTCTTTTCGAGCGCCTTAAAACTACGCTCCGCTATAGAAAAAGTATCGCCTAAATTATCTAATGAACGCTTGAAAGGAATTTTAACGCAAAATCTACCATCCGCTGTACGCTTTGTGTTTTCAAGAAAATGCTTTTCGCAAGCTACCTCGTCGTCGCTAAGTAACATAGGTTTTGGAATCTCTTCTAGTTCCCAAAACATTCTTAACTGTGAATCAATAGACTGGCTAAAATTACACAACACCGAATCATCGCTTTTCAAGTTATTAGAATAAATAGTTCCTGATATGATCCATCCTAACTTTGTATTCTGTAGGAATGGCCCTTGTTTTAAACGCATTTTTCCTTCGCTTAATATGTTCCAAAACGCATCAGCACCAATTAACATATCAATAGGCCGGCTTTGGAAAAATGTAGAATCTGCCAATTGTATGTTATGTGGTAGCTGTAAGGATTGCAGAACGCCTCTTTGAATAGTAATAGGAGGTAAAGAACAAGTGATTTGAGGTAAAACTAAACACTGTATCTGCATGAGGAATGAATTTGTTAACGCTTTTATATCAACAGTGCACGATTGAGTACTATGAGATACCGAATTACCAACGCCTTTTATTTGAAAAATGGACTGTATCGTATTTAAGTTCAAATCATCGCATAATTTTTTCGTAATAAAACTGCGTTCGCTACCGCAGTCAAGTAAGACGCGCACGACCTGACGCTTACCGCTTTTGCCTGTTACTTCAACCAACGCGGTTGATAATAATACTGATTGCACACTATATAACTCGTCGGCTTGTATTAAATGATTATCTAAGTGTGCTGTATGAATATACGTGCATCCATCGGATGTCGCATTAGCTCCCGTCTTGCAGCCGGGCGGGGAAACCGGTTCCTTATCGAGCGGGCGCAGCAGTGATCA